AGGAGCCCAGGACAACAGGAAGGGGAAGCAGGGATTACAGGGGGAGAAGGAGCCCCCGGGGTTTTAGGGATGCCCAGGGGCCCTGACAACAAAGCCATGGGGTGCGGAGAGTGAAACGCCCAGCGTGAAACGCCGGAAACCAAACCAGCCAGAAAGACGACTCCGAAACCAGCCCCACAGTGCTCACGCGGAGCAGCGTCTCTCCTCTGCCCAGCCCCGAGTCCCTGGTAAGGGACCCCACGATGCCCTGGGCCCCCAGACCCCGCTGCACCACAGTGCCGGTGCACGTACCCTTCAGGATGGTCTCAAAGGCCTGCTCGACGTTGGTGGAGTCCAGCGCCGAGGTCTCGACAAACAGCATCCCGTTGTTGTCTGCAATGAGAGGAGCCCCCCGAGACGATGCAGACCCCGGCGAGGGCACGGCTCTGTTCAGGAGATGTTCAGGTGCCCGCACTGGGGTGGGTCCCTGCTACCAAGGCGGTTCCCGAGCCCCCAGCCCCGTGGCAGGGTGCCAGCCTGTACCTGCAAACATTTTCGCCTCCTCCATGGGCACCTCCCGAGCCTGCGCGAGGTCGGTCTTGTTCCCCACCAGCATGACGACGATGCTGGCCTCAGCGTGGTCGTACAGCTCCTTCAGCCAGCGTTCCACCACATCGTACGTCTGGTGCTTGGTGATGTCAAAGACGACCAGGGCACCCACAGCCCCTCGATAATACCTATGGGAGAACCCCACCGTCACCCCACGCTCCAGACACCCCCCACAGCATCCTCACCGGAGGGCATCACCACCCAGGTAGCGGGGGGAGCCCTGGTTTCAGGCATCCCATCCTTACGCAGAGGTGATGGCACGGTACCGCTCCAGCCCGGCCGTGTCCCAGATCTGAGCCTTCACCACAGCGTCTCCCACCAGGATGGTGCGGGTGGAGAACTCCACGCCGATGGTGGTGCGGCTGTCGTGGTTGAACTCGTTGCGGGTGAAGCGGGAGAGCAGGTTGGTTTTGCCCACCCCGGACTCCCCGATCAGGACAACTGTGGAAAGAAGGGGAAAGCCCACTGGAGCTGGCGAGGAGGGGAGAGGGCTGCTCCAAGACACTTCACAGTAACTCAGATAACCCTTTCTGACC